GCAAGGCCCATATTCTTGTAGGTTGGGATTTAAAAAGGCCATAAGGAAATTGATGCTCAACTTGCACTAAAATTCAGTGAGAATTAGATGCAGAGCTGCTTCCAGTTTGTTCCAGTTTCCATTGATGATCCATCTGTCAGGCAGCCTGTCCCTTTAATAACTACTTGAGGGTTAGGCACCAATTTGAGCTCTATGACCTTTTCTTGGGGCAAAAAGTGTACAGCACACAAAACCTTATTGCATGGAAAGCAATTTGCAAACCCCAAGTGAGAGTGCTTGAGAGTAAAATCCCACTTCAAACACAGTCCTGACCACGTTTCATGAACTGGCAACCCAATTTAGGGATTGGCCTGAGTCACAAATAAGACCTGGACCATGTCTGCCTCTGTTATTCTTTAATAGCAACCTTGTGAACTCTTCTGGTGCAGACAGGGGTTGCAGACATATTTGAACAAATGGGGTAAGTGTTAGAAATGGCTTAAAGCTGAATGCTTTTCCATGACAAGGAAAAAGCCTTCCCTGCTGCTTGTTTTCTTCTGATTTATTCCTCAGTAAAAAGGGGTGAAGTTTGCTCTTTGTGAGCTCAACGTTGTCTACAAAGACCCCTAACTTCAGTGGAGTGTCTGATGTATTGTTGTCATTCTCTCACAAAAGCAGCTGGGAGAGCCTGGGAAAAAATGATCTCTACACTTTGAGGGAAGCAGAAGTGTGGAAGAAGCTGGTCTCTCATCTGACAAATGAATTATCATCAAAACTGTGGTGTTTAGAGAATAAATTGCTGTTTCCTCCGTTACTGGTAGTTCACCCGCTTACGATCAGTGAAAGCACAGTCACTGATCTAGCCATTTAACCAAACTTTCCTGGGAGCAGAAAGGAAAGCAAGTGCTAAGAGGAGGTTTATTAGGTGTGCTCATTCAGTCAGTCCATTAACTCCTTTGGGTTCTCACTCTACATGCTGAAGAGCTGGTTCTGCATGGAAGTCAATAGATGTTTTTTGCCTCTCCTGGCTCATAGCATTTGAAAGGGGCATTCATAGCATTTGAAAGGGACATTTACAGACTGAGGAGGAAGAGAAGATATTGAAGCTAGTTGAAAAGAATGAGTTTCAGGAAGAGCTGTACAGCCCAGCCAGGTGCTTGTAACCATAGACGAATATTGTGTTTGAGTGGATGAAGGACCAGACAGTGGGAAATGTTGCCTAGTGAAAAGGTGTATTGGTTGCTAAAAAGACATTTCTAAACCTATACACAAAACTTTCTCTGTTTCTTGAAGGACTTAGATGATCAAAAGATTTCTTTTCCTTTCTTCCCCTCCCTTTTGTGTGTGCATGTGCATATGCATTTTTATTGCTCTTTCTGCTGTGGAGTCTCATCTCTTGTGTTTTACTACTTCTATGCTAAAATATTGCTAAGATACAAGCACTGACACCAGAACCTTCAGCCTGCAGGATTCTCCAGAGAGCTCCATTACCTCATGCTCTAGATAAACCATCAGTACAGTGAAATCTACTATTGAGCTAAAAGCTCTGGAGTTCAGATTCCCAAGCAATTGGAGTCATTTAAAGCACATAGAAGAGGGATGGAATGATCTCAGTGGTGTTGATACATCTTTTGACCATATCTTGGGTTCCCTGCAAGACCCAATCTTCAGCAGCCTTCAAACAGTGGCCTGATGGCTGAAGGAAATACAGAGTGTAACTGTAGCTGAATCATAACAGAACATATATTTATTTTACCTACCTCTGTCTGAAAGTAATGATTTCAGTTGAGATGAGACACAGTAGGTGTTTTTGCCCTGGTCTTCTGCTTAAGGCAGTTTAAACCTTCCATATTCCACTATATTTGCTCTAACCTGGACAGTGGACTAGCTTTCTTCATGTCTGGTGACGTTTGGCACACAATCACACTGAGATCCTGCAAAACAAGATGATTCACTGCTATTATATGTAAAGCAAGCTCAGCAGCTTGGGTAAGTGAGCTGGTACAGTGAGCAGCACTCAGCCCTCATCTCTAAGGATGCAGCACAGATGCAGCATCACAGGCCTTTATCAGGTGGTATAGCTGTGGCTCATCCCTTACCCTGTTCCTTCTTCTTTTAGGGATCCATTGTGCCAGGAAAAGAAAGGATATCCAGCTTGCTTTGAACTGGCTCTCCAATTTCTGCTCCAGATTACAAAAACCAAACAGACATAAGGCTCTATCTGCTTTGACAAGGAACTGACCAGCACAATGGGACTCCCCAGCCAGGTTTTGGCCTGTGCCATCTTCGCTTTGCTGTCCCATCACGTCAGTGGAGGACTCATCAAGAGAATCATCAGGCAGAAGCGCGAGACTGGGCTGAATGTGACCTTGCCAGAGGACAATCAGCCTGTGGTTTTTAACCATGTCTACAACATTAAGTTGCCTGTTGGCTCCCTTTGCTCTGTGGACCTGGATTCAGCGAGTGGTGACGCAGACCTGAAGGGGGAAATTGAACCTGTCAAGAATTACGAGGAGCACACGGTGAATGAGGAGAACCAGATTGTCTTCACGCACCGTATTAACATTCCCCGCCGAGCCTGTGGCTGTGCAGCTGCCCCCGACATTAAGGATCTGCTGAGCAGACTAGAGGAGCTGGAGGGACTGGTATCCTCCCTACGGGAGCAGTGTGCCAGCGGCGTTGGATGCTGTCCTAATTCCCAGGCAGTAGAAGGTAAGGCAGACTGGGGAGCTGCTCTTGAGGAAATTCTCCTGCTGGCTGGAGATCTTTTTTAGAGTAGACACTCAAATCTGTTTCAAGAATGAGCACAAGTCAACCTGTTACGTTTGAAACATAATCAAAACTGGGAATGTGTTTGGGCAGCTTCCAAGATCCATTCATTCACAGCTTCACGGATTTCTGGATCTGTGGGTCAGAAGTTGGCTTGGGATGCTGTGTAGCTGTGGTATTGAGCATGGACAGCACTTGGGCATGGTGACAATCTGTGTCAGTGCTAAGATTAAAACTCACTCAGTCCAAGCTCTTGGCTCCACATTTTGTCCCCTTGAGGAATCTGCCAATGTAACCATTTCTGTTTCCAAGATTTCTTTAATAGAGACCAATAAAAGTACAGAGCAGGACATAAGGCAGTAGAGAAGCACATATAGCTAGGGAAGGGGGAAAAAGGTATCTGTCCAGCTGGATTTTAAAATGAGGGAAGGGGTTGGTCATACAAGAGAGAAAACACAGATCTTCTCAGTAGTGATGTGTCCCTCCAAGCACAGAGCTGGTCTCACAGTTGCTGATACAGCATGCTGCCTGCCTTTTTCTGTTCTGGAGTGAACTGATGAATAACACTTCATGGTGCATGCCCTAATGAAGCAGTCAGGAAAGCTGCTCAGTCAGTGGAAGAGGATTTTGAGAAGGGAGGAGGAATCCAGCCTGCTCATTTACCAACTCTTTGGCAGAGACACTTCCCTGGCATTAGTGCGAATTAAAGCATTCCTGGTCAAGGAAATAGCACTAGGAAAAGAAGATATCCTCATTTAAAAATGTTGGTGATTCTGGAAATGATGTCCTGTAGGGAGCTAGGAATATCAGACCTTTTCAGGTCGCGTGCGCCGCACTGGCTTAATGCATCCCAAGGCAGTAATGGGTTTTTCTGCCTCGTTGCTACAGGTCACCTGGACACGACACCCTATTGCAGTGGACACGGCAACTACAGCTTTGAGATCTGTGGCTGTGTGTGTGAGCCAGGCTGGAAGGGCCCCAACTGCAGCCAGCCCACCTGCCCCTCCGACTGCAACGACCAAGGCAAGTGCATGGATGGGGTTTGTGTGTGCTTCGAGGGGTACACAGGCCCGGACTGCAGCGAGGAGCTCTGTGCCCAGGGCTGCAGCCTGCACGGGCGCTGCGTGGCCGGGCGCTGCGTGTGCCACGAGGGCTTCACCGGGGAGGACTGCAGCGAGCCCCTCTGCCCCAACAACTGCCACAACCGCGGGCGCTGCGTGG